TATTACTAGCTTGTAAGAATTTCACAAATGTCAAGTGAATGAATAGATAGATGAAYGGGAAAAAACAGCCAAAGATTAACATGTTCAACACTTTTCTTGTACTGATTACTTCAATCTTCAATATAAACCTATGAGTAACTATCCTTGTAACTATCAACTATTAGTCTTTACAATAACTAATTATTAACTATTTTACAGTTACATAGACTGGAGACTGAGAGAAGTTAATTGTTTATGGTGACACAGACAAAAGGATAAAACCAGACAGGAGGAAGGAAAAGAGGAATGAAAGAAAGGACAAAATAAAAAAAAATGTTAATGGAAGAACTGTATTATAAACTCATTTCTCTGAAGGTTGAAAAAGGTAGTATGAAAGAAGGATATAGGTAGGGCCTTTTGAAGGAAGAAGATAATTGTTATAGGTATTATATATGGAAGGAATAGTATGATGAAATGACACAGAGTGGGAGAGATCACAAAGTACATTTGAGGAACAGCAAGATGAATATTTAGTGAAAGCTGACACACATATGGTGTATTTTATTCATTTATTCAACAAATATATATCAAGCATTTACTCTGGGCTAATATGGCAAAATAACATGGATGGGAAGTTTCCCATCAAAGAATGAAGGATTCTGAATGCCAGAAAAAAAAATACACAGGTATTGAATTGCCATTAAAGATAAGTAAACAAAACAAAACTGAATGTGATTCATGCTATACTTTAGAGCTGTTAACTTTGCAGCAATGAATAGAATGAGTATAGTTAGAGGCTTAAAATTTACTTAGTTGATAATTTCAATGTTAAGTATGTATACTAAGAGAATATTTGAATAGCAGCTTCCATACAGTTGGGTCTGGGGTCCAGAGTCAGAAAAAATTTCCATAACTTGATACCTACTTAATAAGTATTTAGGAAGAAATCACAGAAGTGATTCCTAACACATGCCTGAAGAACTCTAATTTTAAAATTTGCAATGTTTCAAATTCTGAGTTAATATCCCTTAGCCAATAACAGAACATTGGAAAACCATTAATAATCTGAAAGGAAAACAAAAAGGCACAGAATAAAAAAGAATTAAAACTTAAGGGGGTACACTCCTGAAATCCCAATTGTTCATTAGGCTCAAGCAGGGGGACTAAAATCCAAATCCAGTCTCATCAACTTCTCAAGACCCTATCTCAGAATAAAAAATAAAAAGAATTAGGTATAGCTCAGAGGTAAAGTGCTCCCAGGTTTAATTCCTGGTATGGCAAAAACAAGCAAACAAAGGAAAGATTTTTTTTCCTCCTTTGTATAAGCATTATTAAATCCTGTAACTTAAAAAACTACATATATTCTAATAGAATTATAATAAAATGTTTAGACATAATTCACAGTGTAAAAATTATTTATATTCTGTGGAAGCCAAGAGCATCCCTCCTTAAAGTATAAAATAAAGTTTCACCTTCTGCCAACTCCTTGTTCTCACAGCTGAACTGTCACAGCATGAAAACATTCCCCTACCRGTAAAGCTTTAGATACCTATTTCCCTGATGAAAGAGTGCAAAAGGAAGTGAAAGAGTTGTTGACAATTCATACAGTATCTTATACTCCATTACTCTTCAACTATAAGAAAAGAAATATTTTAACTCTGAAGGAAGATGAGCAACAACATTCTAAATGATTGGTGACTTCACAGAGTAGCCAGAAAATGTCAAGACTCAAGTATAAAAGGTTCATAAGAGACTTAAGATTATACAAGAATCTAATTTTAAGAAGTCTATTTCTTTGTTCTATTTCCTAAGTTAAAGGTTAATGAGAAGTATAATAAAGAAAACATTTTCTGTTACCTCAAAATATTTCTCATGCAGTATAAGAACAYAAATGAATAAGTATTAATTTAGTTCTTCATTATCTTTTTAAAAAATATTCAYTGAAGTATAATTTACATGCCGTAACATTTTTTTTTTCATTTAAATGTCCAATTTAATGACGTTTAGTAAATTTAAAGGTGTGCAATCTTTTCCACAATCTAATTTTAGAACATTTCCATCACCCAAAATCTATTAACTTCTTGATCTCTATTTCCATAAATTCACGGAAGCCACTGTAAAGCTATTGTATATTCAGAGCCACACAAATTTCTGCAACTAAGAAGAAAAAGTACAAACCAACTCTAATTTTAATGACCTTTCTAACCAATCCTCTACTCTGGCACCAGAAAGCAAATGTTCAGGTGCTTGCACTGAAAGTTAAACCATTCTAAGTATTAAGTTATGGCACTGTCTTGGAAAGAAATTAATTATATTTTTGTTGGTAACACATTTCAGGCTGTTTACACAGCTGACATTTCTCAGCTGTACCCAAATCATGCCCTAAGCTGTGAGGACTATCTTGTTTTGTAGCAGATGCCTCCACTTGAAGTGATTTCARTAAGTATAAAAACACCACTTCCTACAACAATATAGATTACAATCATCGGCCTTACAAGTTTTTATGGTCTTAAAGAAAGATTTAATGACAATTATTTGGCTAGGATATCCTTAGAAGTCTAAAGCCATTTTTTTGCTTAAACTGAAGCACTGGAGCAAGCAGATCTGCTGTGGCAACCAGTTAAAAGCAGCCTGGCCCTAAACAGCTTTGTTGTATCAAATCATGTAGCTCAAGGCCACATTCTGCCAATGTGGCAACATTTGCTCTGAAGAAGTGGGCAGCACCACTTCACAGGTTCTGGGACAAGGTGCAAATATGAATAATGAGACAAAAAGAATCAAGCCTCTTAATGGGGATTCCAAACTCTTGTACTTATTGTGATTTAGATGCAGCACTAGGTAGCATTACATTCTTGGATATTGTGGATACTGTTAGTTTCACCTGCTTTCCATATTGTACTATAGCAGTAAAATTGCATTACAATCATTTGGTAAAAATTTAAATGTTACAAAAATCATTAAACATAGGTGTCATAAAAGACTGTGTCAACCGAATTTAATGAATTAGCACTGAAAATGTGTAAAGACACTTTGTTACAGAAAAATTGTTCATATTTCATTGAATTTTCCTCTTGAACTTACACCTGATGAGCCTATTTCAGTCTGGTTTCTACAAGAATGCAACACGACATTTTTGCTTAAACTCAATCACTGAAGTTAGTGAATCTGTTCTGAAGCCAGTGTAGTCTCACATTTCTAGACTTTCTTTTATTACTTTATGCAATAAGGTAATAAGCCTTATTACATATGGTTTATTATAACCTTGCTCTTAAACCAGATATTTATTTTTRCTTTAAAACTTTTATCATGGAAACCTTTAAATAATATATAAACTTAATACATCCATTGCTCAGATTCAATAATGATCCATAGATACCTAATTTGTATTGCCTTTATTCTTACTCAAATCTCAGACATCATTTCATTATTTAAATCAGTCAATTCTTGCCTAGGGTCCTTTTTGCGTTATCTTAATATTAATTACAATATTAACTCTCAGATACAGTGCCTACTATGAGCCAGGTAGTGAAAATATATTATCACTAATCATGATATATTATCACTAATCAACAATGCTGCAAAAGAATGAGGTAAGTGAAGCTCATAGAATTTTAGTGAAATGCTCAGATCTTATTAATTATTTTCTTCTGTTAATGTTATTATTTATTGTAACAGGTTTTTAGACAATACAACCAACATTTCTAGTTTCCTCATGTCTCCTTAGTAAACAGTAGGCTGACAATTATGAATAATAAAACTTTTTGTTTTTATAAAGACGTCATAAATTATCTACCAAATTTCCCAACCTACAAAGAAAACAAAACAACTATAGCCCTATTCTTAGTAATGGTGAACCAGCCAATAATTCTAATGATATAATATTAATGTTAAAATCAGTTTTTCAGAAATAAATGTAATTGTGTATATCTAAAACATTTTTTTCCTGGAATCATTCATTTAAAAATTTTTTCTTTTTTGCTCTTTTCTGTTTCTTTTTTTTTTTTTTTAAGTTTTTGTTAATTCACAAAGTATTTTCCAAGGCACAGACCCAAGTAGCATCTACATTAACCAACTCTTAAAATTTTTCTATCTTGTACCAAGAATTTTTTTATATTAAAATGTATGATGGTGGTGCAAGAAAGGGAGAAATAGTTAGTACCCAGACAGAAATATAATATATAGTAGAAAATATAAAAAGGTAATTTAATTCTTAGTCAAGAATAATTGACTACTTATTATTACAAGAGGTTGACATAGTCCTAATTTCTTTTTAGCCTTATTTTAAAAATTATATTTAATTTAGAATTCCTGAAACATTCTAAATTTTACTTTTATTTAATGAGCATCTTTTGAATATAGATATTGTATGGGCAAAGTGCCCAAAACCTCAGTTAACTTCTTTAGATAATAAAATTTATTCTCTTGGACAAGGGTAATTATAGGAAATGAGACAGAAGTAGAAAAGGTTTCAAAATTTATAGTAGAAAATCACTAGAAATAAATATAACAGGTAAAAATGATAGACTAAAGTTTTTTATGAAACTGAAACTTATAAAACTGTTTAAGGCTAAAGGACTATGAGATGTTAAATTTAATCATTTTTTAGAGCACCAGTACAATCTGGGAAATGTAGTCTTAATATTAAATATAATAATTAGGATGATTTTGAAGTATCTGTTATTAAGGAAAATTCTTTTGAACATTTCACTATATATATATTTACTATGTTGTTCTGAAGAAAATATATTCTATATGAAGAAAAAATTTAAGTCAAATCAAGCAGCATCAAACTCCTGATACTGACATTCAAACATTTCCAATGGAATGTTGATGTGTTTGGCTTATAGTATTTGTTCTGCAAGTGAGCTTAAATTATTACAACTGCTTTTATTTCCACATTTTTTGACTTTCTCAGGGGAATATCTGAAGCATTTGATTCTGCATGTTAGCAAGACCAATTATGACTGAGAGTGGCAAAAAAAGAGAAAAGATACAAAATTGAGAACTTGTCTGTTACTTACTGAGTCATCTGTAGCAGAGGGTGGCCAGCCCTCCCATAACTGATGTCGAACGGGTATACTTGTAAGGTCATACACATTTCTCTTTACCTATTAAAAAAAAGGGGGGGGCACAATTATGATAGGGTTTCCACATGACTTATGGTAGTTTCAGTCAATTTATATGAAAGACAAGGCATTTCAACATTTCTTTTAGATTCAGAATAAGAATTTGAAACTAAGAAAAAAATTTGTAAAAAACAAAACCAAATCTATAAGCAGAATTTTGGTGAAGGCTACATGAAATTTTTAAAATTTTTAAAAGTTCTAGAAACACCATTCCTCCTTGATTATATACTCCTCGTTGACTTCAAGTTTCTTTTTAGTCAAGAAACTTCAAGGACCCATTTCACTTAGTACAGACTACAATTATTAATGTTYATAATTCTTTTAAGGTTTAAAGTGTGTGATTTTTTCAAATATATTTCAAGTTTCCACATGGAAGAGAGAAACAAAGCATTGTTTGTTTGTTTGTTTGTTTGTTTTTGGGTTGGGGATGGTGAGAGACTGAAGTTGTCCTTTTTTATATACATATAAGATTCAAAGATTAAAAACTTAATAAAGCAGTATAGGTTATTTATTTCCAATGATATCAAATTAAAAACTATTTCAACACAATATTTACTAACACCAGAGCTATCCATTAGTATAATATTTATAAACTTCCTAGAAAGAATATACAGGAGAAGCTATTAATGCTTTTTAAATCTGTTTTTCCCAGCAGCAACATTATACCTTTCATTTTTAAAGGAGAGGAACTGATAAGATAAGGTGTTGGAAGGTTAAACTTTATCCAGTAATCCAGTAATTAAAAAGCATCATATCTTTCTTTGGCTTTTTTTTCTTTAAATAGCATACAGAAATTCTATTTTTTATTTGCAATTAAATTAACCAAAACTATAACAATGGAGAAACTAAAACTATCCACTTTAACTAACTCTAGGTTATTTAGAGCACAATTACTCTGACAAAATGTTGCACATAAGATGTTCTGTAATAAGATTTCAATATAGGTGTTCATACTTCAACAAACAGCATTCATTCATGTTTTTGAAATGCAGAAACCTAAGTATCATATTGTCCAATTAYTGCATTTTGTTATCACATTACTCTTTATTATACTATCATAAACACATCTAAGTTACCCTTCCAGTGAAATAGGGAGATATGTTCACAAGGGAAAGGAAAAACAAAACATGGAACTCAATCTATTTTTATCACTATGGTACACCTGTGGAAAAAAGGACTTAGTAAATGAGATCTGAGGAGCTTGGGACATGTCTTGATCCCCACTCAATTCAAACAAACAGCTTTTCTTCATAGTTCTTAGCAATGGTCAGTCTACCATGYATTATTTTGTTTATACTAAGTCAAATCGAGTTTGGAAATTTTCATCAGTCATTATCAACCCAACAATTTCACCAAATGTAACTGGCCTATTCCCTCTCACCATTTTCACTAGTTAAGACTATTCTGTTATGGATAAACATTAGTGCTCTTAAAGAAAAAGGTGTTCCACAAATCCAAAGAATTTTATTTTTGAAGAGGGAAAATTCAGAAGAGGGAGTATGGGTTTTCTCTGGGCTTTAAGGCAAAATTTCTTTCCTTAAAAGTTATTTTTAGAGTGTCTAAAGACACCAAAATTCATCAGTTATTTGTGAAAAAGGCAGAAAAAATATTTACATCTGTTGGAAAGGTGGCAAGGCTACCATAGTATTAGAAAGTATAGACTACTGTGAATACATAAACGAATAACTGTGGCATGAAATTCTTTAAATTCTACCTTAATTCCAAAATACAACACTATGGTATTATGAAATAAACAGTATTTTCTTCTTTCATTAACTCATCTGTAACTGCACTGAATTGAATAACATTCCTTCACTATTCTAAGCCTGAAAAGCATGTTCTGGCTATAGTGTTATGTTGGTATAAAGCACAATGCCAGACTGATGTGCTGAACAAAAGTGATCAAAGTTAGAGTAATGTTAGCCATTGCACAAGTATTTGGCTTCATTGTTCTCCCTAGAATGACATCTGTTAAGCAACTTGTCATAGAATAAACTGGTTAATGCAGACAGAACTTGGCTGAGAGAGTACCATGTAAAGCATATTAGGCTAATGTTTGATTGTTCCAATGGAAAGGTTAAATTCACAGACTACTCTAAGATTAAGCCAAAAGAATCCTGTGTTAAACCATAACCACCAAACAACAATTTAAGTAAAAACAAACTGGTTTTTCAAAAATAATTCCACAATAAGAAGATTTTACCACTGTATGGAAGAAGCACAAGTGATGACAAAAATGCCAAATGAATGGTGATTTTAGTAATAGAGATAAAAATTGTTATTTTTACCAATGGTTATATTTAATTAAAATTTTAAGTCATAATCCGGAAGGGAAGGGAAAGATCCAAAATGTACACAATGATAAAGTATAAAAGATTTCTTTAAAAAATTAGAATTTTGGGAAACCTGAATAAAAAAATACAACTGTGTATAAAATTACACAAATGAMTTTAAAGTCATCATGAAGCCAACGAAAGAGTTTACTCAACTCTCTCAGAGAAGGAGGATGGAGAGAAAAGGAGAGGGATAGAGACATGGGAAGAAAGATGGGGGAGGGACACAAAGAGATGAGAAGAGACAGAGGGAAAAAGAGAAAGTGAGGGGAGGAAAGTGATCTGAGACTTCAGAGCACTTGAGAGGGGTGGAAAGAAAACACACACAAACACACACACACACACACACACACACACACACACACACACACACTGGGTTGCTGTGACTGGCATGCCCAGCTGCCATTATTGTACTGCTTCTGATGGAGTTTCATCTTAAAAGACTGTTAAATTCCAGTTAAGGACAAGTGGCACTTCACTGGGTAACATTTCCTAAGGGCCTTTTTGTCTTACACATTTTCTTTGATCAGCATTGGCTCAAGACCATACCCAACCATCATAATCTTCTCAATTCTTGTTTTGCATTAAGCTCTAAATCTATGAGATTTCAGGCTGCTAAACTATGCAAATGTTTCAATTAGTTCTGGAGGAATTTAATAAATGCTTTGATTACCAGCTGAACATTAAAATTACATTACAAATTATACTGTGTTGGATCAGGAGTTCTAGATTGATAACAGATTTTCCATAGTTTATTTAGTAGACTTTTTGAAAGGGATAATTTAATGTTTTTCTTATTGCTTCAGATAAGAAAAATTGTGATTGAAATATAAATCAGATTAACTTGAAATAGTACAGAATTAATATGGAACTGATTTGTTTATCATCAGCCTTTCATTGTTAATATCTATTTATATACCATAATTAATATTAAAAAACTAAGCCATGATCTCCATTTCAAATTTTACATTTTCTCAATCTATACAAATTTCAATGCTAAACTTAGCACTGAAAAACATTATTTTATTAAGACCCATTCAATATAAAATTATAAAAGAATTTGCATAACATATTAATTTCCTACAAATTCTYCCTTTGATTCACTTAAACTTTTAATCAGCTTTACTTTTTAGTTAAATGCCATCAGAATTTCTTAAAATATTTGGTAAAGGCTAAATGTTGAGGCTCAGACTAGACTCAAATGAGTTGTTCACAGGTTTTCAAATTGGAAAATATAAAGCTTAGTAATAATGAAGTCATTCCTTGTGAGCTAATGTTAGTCAAACATTTAGTGTGTAAGGTATGAAGACACGAATGGTGTGAATATACTTTGTATACAACCAGAGACATTAAAAAAATGTGCTCTAGATGTGTAATATGAATTGTAATGTGTTCTGCTATTGTATATAATAAATTAGAATAGAAAATTAAATTTGAAAAAATATCAAAAAAAWTTTAGAAAGCATTTCAGGGAATTTCAAATGTCATTCAGGTATTATTCAAGGGAAAGCTGATTCTAATAGGGAAAAAAAAAAGCCACAGAGTTTGATATGTTGTGGTATAAAGAGAAGCAGAGAACTAGATTTCTAATCCTAATTCTGCACAGCTATTACTATGGGCAAACTGGTGGAGTCATTTCTGAGATTTAGTTTCCTCAATCATAGAAGATATTAAAACATGATCACTTCTGATTTTCAAAGCTCTAAAATTCCATGATTTCATGAGGATGTTGGAGCTAATCCTAAATGCAGAAAAAGAAGAGTTAAATATATGCAAGACAAAAAAAAAAGGTAATGAGGGAAATTAATACAATCATCAAAGCAAGAAAATGGAAGAATAACAGATTTAATAAATATAATACATCAAAAAGAAAAACTACAAATAATTTCAGGTGAGAAACAAAGACAAAATAAGCATTTTTTGATGGATTTTCTTTGGATAAAGAAAAATCTTAGTCTTTACTTTTATTTTCCCTTTTTTAAAAAACCTTATTAGTTTTTTCCCYTATAAAATCTCACTTCAAAATAAAACCTGGTACATTGGTTTCCCAAACAATTATTCCCTCAACCAAATGTTAATCACTGAGGTTATGGTTTTCCCAGAACTACTACTACTTAAGAATTAGTTTTAAAGCTTTATTAACTTAAAGATTTTTGAAATCTGGCTGAGGATTCTTCACATATCAAACATTTTAACATAACAAAAATAAAAACAAAATATTTAATTGCCAAGGGCTTAGAATAGCCATCAATTAGCTTTCCAGTTTCTAGATTTTCTAAATTAAGATACTATGGCACATTAGAGGCTTTTCAAAACGTAATCCTGAAACTACAGACATCCATCTCATTCTTACAAGAAAGAGGCCTCTGGTCATATTAGAACCTGAGCTTATCCAAAGTTTAAATATATCAAACTGAGTTCCAAGTATTTCACACTATCAAATAATACTCTGTTAAGAATGTGCTATTAACAACTGCATGGAACAAACAAGTATTTGTATTTGTATGTTTAAATCAAAATAAGGCATACAGACTAGGCTTAGTTCCAGTTTCTTAGCAATCACTGGTACTCTGAAAGGCTTATATGGTTAGAAACCAATCATTTCTGATTCAGAGTGGGTTTTTGAAAACATACTTCATATCTCTTGCT